TCCAGCACTCGGCAAAGTGCCGGTTTTCAGTAGTGCACTCTTGGAAGCTCGTAGCAATATTTAGAAAACGGCCTCCGAAGTTTTTTTTTTTTTTTTTACCGAGGGTTGAACCCCATTTCCATTACCAAGATAACGGAAATACATTAACTGAGAGTAGCAACAGACATCAAGAAACTGGAAAGATAGACATCTAAGACCAAAAGCCTGAACTTACTACACCTGAACCACTAAAATGCTAAGCTCTGCATACCCTAACACAGGGGAGCCAAGGAACATTCTCCAGGACCTACCAACAAGTAGAGTTTAGGACAGGTAACCAAGAAGTTCAAAAGAACATTACAAAAGTTGCGAACACACGGCAACTCCTGAAGCCAAACACCCAGTATCAAACAACCAGCAACTGCTAACTTGGAGAAGGCTTCAACCGTTCTGTTGACTATCATCCGAGTCCTTCAGCAAGTGATGGTCACCCCTCCGCGGCTTCTTGTTCAGCAAGCTTGTTGCAATTCGTAGCATAGTGTTTATACCTTCCTCCAGAGCCTCTCTGTCCATCCCTGCATATAGTCCTGCCCAGTAGCTCATAAGGGCGCAAGCATGACATACTATAGAGATTGGATTAAGTATTAATTTGCCTTCAAAGCACAGTTTATTCCTGGCTTTCCATATTGCCCAGCAAACGGCCGCAATTCCCAAAGTATGAACTTTTTTGCCCAACGGCAACCACCTTTCACACCATTCCCAGCATTGGTTCAGAGACCTGGGTACATTATTAGCCCCAAAACAAACAGCCACAGTGGCCCAAACCACCTTGGCAGTACTACATTGAAATAACAGATGGTCAACAGTCTCAGGTTGAGAACAGAAGTAACATGAAGGATCCCCAGGCCATTTCCTTTTGACCATATTATCTTTGGTTAAAATAGCATTATTCAAAGCCATCCATAAAAAAAATTTCAATTTCTCAAGAATTTTCCCTTTCCAGATTTTCTTATGATATCTGCCGATTTCATTAACAGTGAGAGCATTGTAAACAGATTTAACTGAAAAGATACCTTTTAACCCAAATTTCCATGATACCACATCATCATTCAACCCCAGGTTAATCAAAGAAGTATCAAACAGGATTCTTTCCCAATCATTTCTCCAGCTATCAACCAACCATCTAGTAAAGCTTACAGCAGTGAAGTCGTTTTTCACTTGCTCAACAGTTATGTTTTGCTTAAGACACATAGCAAACAAGTCATGAAAGAGAACTTCCAGGGATTTTTCATATAACCATTTATCTCTCCAAAACAAAGTTTTTCGACCATTCTCAACAATAATTTTCCTACCTTGAAGATAAACATCTCGAACTTTTAACAAATCAGACCAGATAGCAGAATCTGACTGCCTGAGCTTCACAGTACACACAGAATCGTGCTTGAGGTATTTATATTTAATAATTTCTTGCCAAATCCCAGACTCAGTTTCAAGTCTCCACAACCATTTACAAAGCAGGCTAACATTCATTTTCCTGATATCTTTAATACCTAGTCCTCCTTTTTTCTTACTCTTACAAATTTTAGTCCAGCTGACAAGATGAGAATTTTTATTTATTTTTAATACTTTTTGTAAACTAATTTTAAATCTAACATTATTTATTTTTTTTTCTAAAACTAAAACTTTTTGCCGCGCCTATTTTCTTGACGTGGCGAAATGCCTGTGCCGCGCCACGTGGCGCGATGAGAGGGTTGACGTGGATACGACCGAGGCGCTCATCTGTGGCGTGACAGAGGCAGGTACAGCCCGCGAGCCTGGTCATGGCCCTGGTCGCGGTCGTGTCGGACTTGCTTGTGCGTAATCGGGCGTAGCCTGTGCAGGTGCATGATGATGTGATAGGTGCAGGTGCAGGCCATCCCAAAAAAGAAGCTCAGGTGCAGGTGGCCAGCATGCACGCTAACCCGTGTAGGTGTCCGTGCAGATGAGTGAATGCTTACCCGTCACATCACCTTGCCCTTTATGTATGCGTGTAGATTTATTCTTTTAATAGAAACAGAGTACACTTTATTATAACATATTTTATAATTTTTATTTTAGTGTAAATTTTATGTTTAATTGGTGTAAATAGACTATTTGTAAATAAAAATGGTCAGAATTTTTCTAACAGTTATCTGATTATTTTTTTGGTTTTTTATTTTCTGTATGCTTTATTTGGTTTTCCTTTAAATTTTTTTTTAATTTGGCTTCCATATCTGGGTACTCTTTTTTATTATCTGTATGATTTATTTGGTTTTTCTTTGAAATTTTTCAATTTGGCTTCCATAGAAATAATATGGCCGGTCTTTTTGTTTTATTTAGTTCCTCTTTGAAATCTACCAATTTGACTTCCGTAGAAATAATCTAGGTATTTTTTTATTTTATATGTTCTATTTGTTTGTATTAACTTTGATCATTTGATCTAAATCCAGCGGTTATAATAATCGAGTGATTCATGGACTTAAAACACTCGATTCTACCATATGACGCCAATTGAGTGTTTTTGAGCCAACTCATGCTCGGACTGTGACAGAACCGCCCAATTCATATAAGATTAAGTATGACAGTCCCCGTTAAACACGTTGACACACGCATACCGTCACTCATAAATCTTGTAGTCCGTTGAGTACCACTAAGAGTCTCAATAAATCATCTTCACAACCAAGATCGTACATGATTAAGGGACACAACATGCATCATAATACATAGAGTTCACAGCGGAAGTTTAAGATACAAACAGAGTTCACAATACTTATTACAATACCGAGTTCAAATATGATACAAGAAAGCAACATAGTTTTGAAACTACATTTTATTGTCATAAGTCTAAATACATTGCCAGTTTATCAAACACCTCCAACAAAAGCAAGATAAAGTAGTAAAGTAGTATAGAATACGGCCATGTCCGTTGGCCTTTATTTATCGGTGTCCATCGCGGGACTAAAGCAAGTGATACAATAACCTTCATACAAAGTGTCACCTGCAACGGAGGAAATAAAACCCTAAGTACTCAATTGTACTCAGCAAGACTTACTCGACAAAAGACAAAATAAAAGACTCCAAGGATATGTAAGGCTATATTTGGTGGTGTAAGTTGGATAGCAACACTTTGCACAAGAGCTTACTAAAGTAATTCTTACTTTCAAATTTTAGCTGCAAGACTTAGTTTTGAGATATTAGGACTACATTAGCATTATCTTATACCATATAATTGAATTAAAGAGAATAGTAACCAATTATAAGAATAGTGCCTAATTATAATGATTAGTAACCAATCATAATTCAATTGTCAACATCATATGCCAAGTATTTACTATGACTGTTGGAGCAAGGTATGAATTTCTCCTTATTCGGGAGAGACGACGATTCGAATCGATTACACCAGCTGAGTAAAGCCCGTATCACACACCCCCACGAGCTAGCAACACTCGCGTGAGTCACTGTTCACTCCATTCGGTGGTGAGTTTGGACCATTTCGCAAAACTCATGGTCATGCATCCTCACATGAATTGCTCAATGCCCGTAGCCCGTAGCAAACATGGTCTTGGACCAGTCCCCTTTCTTCAATACTCTCCTCGCAGTAATGCTAGCGGTCCAATAACTCATCTCAAACAAGGTCGTTATATGAATCTCAACTAAGGTCCAACAACGAAGCGGTCCTTAAATGACACAGACGGGGTTAAAACCGCTGGATTTAGATCAAATGATCAAAATTAATACAAACAAATAGAACATATAAAATAAAAAAATACCTAGATTATTTCTACAGAAGTCAAATTGGTAGATTTCAAAGAGGAACTAAATAAAACAAAAAGATCAGCCATATTATTTCTATGGCATTCAAATTGGAAAATTTTAAAGGAAAACCAAATAAAACATACAGAAAATAAAAAAAGTACCAAGATATGGAAGCCAAATTAAAAAAAATTAAAAGAAAACCAAATAAAACATACCGAAAATAAAAAACCAAAAAAATAATCAGATAACTGTTAGAGAAATTCGGACCATTTTTATTTACAAATAGTCTATTTACACCAATTAAACACAAATTTTACACTAAAATAAAAATTATAAAATATGTCCTAATAAGATGTACTCTGTTTCTACTGAAAGAATAAATCTACACGTATACATAAAGGGCAAGGTGATGTGACGGGTAAACATTCACTCATCTGCACCGACACCTAGGTCTTGTTTAGATCACCTCCAAATTCTAAGTTTTTTCACTTTTTCTTCATCACATTAATTTTTAGCCGTTTGCATAGAGCATTAAATGTAGGTAAAAAAAATAATTCATTGCACAGTTTAATTGGAAATCACGAGATGAATCTTTTGATCTTAGTTGGTCCACGATTAGACAATATTTATCAAATAAGACGAAAGTGTTTCTATTCGTCGGGTTGAAATTTTTTGCAATATAAACATGGCCCTACACGGGTTAGCGTGCATGCTGGCCACCTGCACCTGCGCTTCTTTTTTGGATGGCCTGCACCTGCACCTATCACGTCATCATGCACCTGCATAGGCTACGCCCGATTACGCACAGGCCAAGTCCAACACGACCGCGACGAGGGCCGTGACCCGGCTCGCGGGCGCTACCTGCCTCTGTCGCGCCACCGAAGAGGGCGCAGCAGAGTTGCGCTAAGATCGGTGGCGCGGCAGACCCTGCCACGTTATCAGTCAGCACCTTGATTGTCGCCCCGTCAACTCTCTTGTCGCGTCACCATGCATGACGCGGCACAGGCGTTTCGCCGCGCCAGGAAAATAGGGGCAGCCAAAAATATTAGTTTTGGGGAAAAAAATAAATAGTGTTAGATTTAAAATTAGTTTAAAAAAGTGTTAAAAATAAAAAAAAATCACAAGATGATATATTTTCTTTGTTCCACCCCTTGCCAGAAAAAAGATCTTCTGATTTTATCCTTACCGGAGTAGTTGCCGTTTTCGCCAGGGGAGACATTTCTGACCAAACATTGGTACTACTAGTATCAAGCGTACGTGTTGGCGACGTGGGCAAGGTGCCCAGCGAGCTCAGCCGGCGCGGAGAACATGGCCATGTGGTCGGCGTCGGCAATCTCCCTCACCTCCGCCACGGGACAGCCGGCGATCATCATTTGCTGGTACGCCTCGGTCATGGCCTGATCCTGCTTACAGACCACGTACACCTTGGTCACCGCGCCTTACCTGGCCTCGCTGAACGGCGGCTGGCTCTGCAGGTCGGGCACGTAGTATGAGCTCACCCGGGCCAGGCTCTGGGACAGCGTGTAGTCCTGCCGAGATCAACAAATCGATTACTGGATATTTTCTGATTCATGAGACGATTCAATCAGCAGATTTGCAAGGGAGTGCACGAGAAGGTCGGAGTTGATACCTCCGGTGGGCTCAGCTGGTAGAGCTTATGGCGCAGGAATTCAGGCCCCAAGAACACCGAGGGTGGGGCGTGCTCTGCATCCGTGACGGTGTCCATCCAGTCTGGCACGGTAACCTTCGGGAGCACGGGATCGATCATTCATGTCAGCAGCAGGTCACTTTAGCTATCTCAACGACCAACAGCAAGAGGCGTAGACAGACGTACCTTCTCGATGACGTGCGAGCGTGGGTTGCTGCAGTCCGGCAGGAACGCGGTCACACGAGTAATCCTATAGGCTAAATTACTCGAAAATCAAAACAAACTAAATTTGTGTGAAACAAACATTAATATCACTCAGATTATGCAACACTTACATCCACCATGAATTGGGACAAAGAAAAACAATAAAAAATAAACATAATACAAAGAAATTATTACAAATGCAAAGAAACCAAAAAATATAATCAAAGTACAAAGAACAAAAAATTTCTATGGATTGCAAAAACCAAAAATAATCTGAGGACATTGCATGAACCAAACCAATCAAAGAAAATAAACATAGTACAAAGAACAGAAATTTTACAAAGAACAGAAAATTTCTATGGAACAAAAAACCCAAAAAAATCTATGAATTGTAAATTCAAATAAATTCTGAGAGCATTATTTATGTAGAAAATTCTTATAGGTACTATTGGATTTTATTTAGTAGAAAAATATGTATATAGTAAAAAAGAATGGCCCCACCTGATGAATACCTTAATTAATTTACTATCATGTTACTATGGATTAATTTTGTACTTACACTAGATTTGAACTACACTTACAGTGGTTGATCAGGTGTAATTCCTAGGCATTATTTATGTAACTAGTACTAAGTGAAAGAAGTTTATTAGGTATATATTTGGCTTATATTTTTAATGGACTATGTTTGCTTTGGTCTATTTTGATTGAGGCAATGTCCTCAAAACTTATTTAGTTTGAATGTACTTTTATTTTGATTTTTTTTGCATGAGCAATGCTCTCAGAATTTATTTGAATTTACAATTCATAGATTTTTTTTGGGTTTTTTGTTCCATAGAAATTTTCTGTTCTTTGTAAATTTTCTGTTCTTTGTACTATGTTTATTTTCTTTGATTGGTTTGGTTCATGCAATGTCCTCAGATTATTTTTGGTTTTTGCAATCCATAGAAATTTTTTGTTCTTTGTACTTTGATTATATTTTTTGGTTTCTTTGTATTTGTAATAATTTCTTTGTATTATGTTTATTTTTTATTGTTTTTCTTTGTCCCAATTCATGGTGGAGGTAAGTGTTGCATAATCTGAGTGATATTAATGTTTGTTTCACACAAATTTAGTTTGTTTTGATTTTCGAGTAATTTGGCCTATAGGATTACTCGTGTGACCGTAGGTCCTCAATCACTCAGAATTTCATTTTGGTTCTATTTATGTGATTTGTTCCCTCAAATTGCTTGAGTGATCAAAGAGGACTGATTACTCGAGTTCCAAATAGACAGATCCACTATAAATAAGCCTCAAGTAGAGTTTTTTTTTGCTTCTAAACTTCGGTCTTTTCTACACGACCACACCATGGAAATTTCACCAAGCCAAACTCTTTCAGTCGATTTGTTTTTATATACTTATATGTTGCTGCTGCGAGCTAGACATTGCTGTTCGTATAGATTTTGATTTCGGTTTATGAAACAAACCAGGATTTCAAAACTTGAAATATTCCGACTCTCCCGCCCTTCTGTAATAATTTTAGGATATCTCAGCTATCACGGGCATCCACTTTTCAATTGATTACAAAGCCATACAGCATCACATTACATAAATGAGTATATTGCAATAGTTTGGATACAAACCCTCTGGGCTAAAATCAAGCAAAACACCGAAATCCTAATCGTAGCAGCGAAGCTTGGAGATTCTCCAAACCACGGGTATCCTTGAGAGTAGACCACAGACCAACTACTATCCTTAACACCACTACAAGTTGAGAAATTTGAACACCATCAGATGTTGTGCAGGCCATGGTCAGCACCAATATGCTTTAGTGAAAAATAGGAACCGAAGGTATCTGATGATCTTAATAGCTTGGTTGTAGTTTACATTCTTAGCGCATACAGAATAGTATCAAATATATAATATATCTCCTCTAAACCCAACCCATACTATCCTTCTCACCATTCACTCAACATCATATCTCGCCACTCATCATCCCTCACATCACCCTCATTCTCTCGGTCTAAGCGACAAGGCGGCCTCCTTACGGCTATCGTCTCAACGCCCTGAAGCCAGACCTATCTTTGGGGAAGAAGAGAAAGCATAAGAGAAGCTAAAAGGGTCGAAACAGATCACAGGAATCGATCTTGATCAAAGAATCGCAGCTATAAGCATAGTATTAACTCTGCAGAGTGTGTACATCTGTACCCACGAGATCACCAGGCACTGGCCGGCGCCCGATGAACACCGCTCGAGAACTAGCACATCCCTCACCATACTGCCCCAAGTGGAGCGGCATACGAAACGACCTATAGGCATGGTTCGCCACATCGTTCTCACCGTGCTCCTAGGGCCTCGAAACCCCATGCACCAAAATTGGCTTAGTCCGCACTAGGGTATTCTGGTACACGAGGGTACGGATGATATGCTAGCATGGCACTATAATAAAAATGAACTTTTTCACGGTGAAATCAGCATATAAGTTGTACTATGAGCACAAAAGGAGAAGCTGGGTAAATAGGACAGAGTCTTCTGCGTCCTCAATAAGAAGGGGATGATCAGTGTTGGAAGGGGCTGTGGAGGATTACCTGTCCAAAGAAGATAATACATTTCTTATGGAGATTCGGTCATAACAGCTTGTGAACTTAAAACGGCGCGACACGAAACTGGACACGAGGGAGTTCTTTGTGGGAGATCTGATGAAGATGGCGGACAAATGGAGAAAGCCACCACCAGATGTTGTGAAGTTAACAGGATGACCCAACTGGAGGCTGGGGATTCGTAATCCGTGGCTCCAATGGTGAGGTGATCAGTACGAGATTTGGCAAATTGGGCAAGGTGCTGGAGCCGTTTCATGCAGAGCTAATCACTTGCTTGCAAGGCCTACAACGAGCAGCTGATCTTGGGATGCAAAGGGTGATATTGGAGACGGATGCGATGATGGTGGGTAGCTTTATCCTCAGATGTTGATTGAAGCTCGGCAAGCGGTTTAGTATGGGAACTAATAGCGTGTTTGGTCTGCAGACTGACTCCGTCCGGCATGGGGTCGTGCAGAATCAGGTCGTCCGGCGTTTTTTGGCTTTTTGGAGAAATAGATCGGTTCCTGAGAATGTCTTGCGGAAGTTAATAAATAGAATCACTTCATGACGGACGGTACGGACTGACGACGTGAACCAAACAAGCATGTCAGGTTCGGTCTTAGGGTCGGATCATTCCGAACCCAACGATCTGCCAAACCAAACAGGCTGTAAAGGAACTGTTGAGATGTAATTTCTGTTCTTGGGCAGTAGTTCATAATCCGCATTCATGTAATTTGGTTGCCCATAGCCATGTGGCTTTAGGGTCTAAGCTAGGTATGGGTATTGTTCTGTGTTTAACAGTATTCCAATTTATTCTGTTGGCCATCAATTTGGCCCTAGTTAATGAGTAATGGTCATGGAACCCTTTTCCAAGGTAAAAAAAAACAGAGAGGATCGAAATCGTTGGCCCCAAGGTGTCCTAAAATAAATAAATATATATCTCCTTCGAGAAGTCAAATAAACTTAAGTTTGATCAAATCTATAAAAAAAAGACTATGACTTATTTATTTATTTATTTTGCGAGCAAAGAGAGGCTTTATTAGCTAGGCAGCACAAAGTTACAATCATTCCTGACGAGATCAACAGCACACGCAGGTGCGTCCTTCCATCCAACCTCATAACATTTCCATTGCCTAGCTAAACTAGCTATTGCATCAGCCACTTTGTTTCCATCTCTCTTCATATCGGGGATCAATACCAGGGTACCTGAAGAGGAGGAGCTAATGGCCATCAACATTAATTCATCCGAGCAGTCAAGAGCGCGACTACGGCTCCAACCGAACCCCAGGCGCGCAAGCTCCGCCTCGCCCGACACCAAGGCCGCGGGCTCCGCCTCGCCCGACCCTTGGGTTTACGCTTCGCCTTGCCCAGCCTCTGGCCTCGGGCTTCGCCTCGTCCAACCTCGAGGCCACGGACTCCGCCTCGCCTGACCTCTAAGGGCTGGCTCCGCCTCGCCCGACCTCTAAGGCCGCGGGCTCCGCCTCGTCCGACCCTTGGGTTTGCGCTCTGCCTTGCCCGGCCTCTAGCCTCGGGCTTCGCCTCGCCCGACCTCGAGGCCACGGACTCTGCCTCGCCCAACCTCTATGGGCTGGCACCGCCTCGCCCGACCTCTAAGGCCGCGGGCTTCGCCTCGTTCGACCCTTGGGTTTGCGCTCTGCCTTGCCCGGCCTCTGGCCACGGGCTCCGCCTTGCCCGGCCCTAAGGCCACGGGCTCCGCCTCGTCCGACCCCGAGGCCACAGACTCCATCTCGCCCGATGGAGACCCATGCCGTCGCCAACCACTCTAAGTCCAAGTGTATGGGCCTGGGTCAAAGCTCTAACACCAGGGAAGAGACCGACACACCCCGATGTAACTCGCGGCCATGACGGGCCATACCCGAGGGTTCACATCAGGAATAGCGTTGGGCGTACCAGAGATGTTCTACCTAACCTTCGTACGAACACTGATAGGAGCGTCAGTTTACCACGACGTCCGCCAGGACAGAGTGGAGCACCATGACCGGCAGATGACACCTGCGCATGGTGCTAGTGACGGATAGAGCCGCGTCATTGAGTCATCCCTGTTGACATCTACAGGGTCAGCGGGACCCGCATGAAAGATAGAAGGACCCGGAGATCCTGAAGGACATCCTCTCTCTCTCGCTCGCTCCCCTCCTTTCCTCCGCTATAACCCGTGCCTTCCCTTGGTCTATAAAAAGGAAAGCAGGGCACCCCATGAGGGGCATCCGACTAGTGAACAATCGAACTATTGATCCAGGCCAGACCCGATCGAACCATCACGAACCCATTGAACCTCGAACCGATCACAACACAAGCACACGACTGAGGAGCAACCGA